TGTTTTTATCATCCTGCAGGCTCTGAGAGAAAGTTAATTTGAAGCTAAAATTTGTTTTTAATAAAAATCGTTTGATTACTCTAAAGCAAAATGAGGGAAAATCTGTGTCAATTACAGACATTCTGTTCACGTGAGCAGCTGTCAGTCAGCACCTGTCATCCTCCAGACACATGAAGGAGTGAGTGTTTGAACCAATCACTTTTGTTGGCATTGATCAGCTGACTGATTTAAATACATCTTAACATTCATGAGGTACTTTACATTGACTGTTTATGGTTGAGTGTGGGCGTGTAGAGGGTAGAACCTGAGGTGGGACCTCGTGCGCAAACTCTGACGTGCGGCTGTGATTTATAAAGGAAAGATGCGCAGAAACATGCATACGTACGGTTTTATAAATCTGAAATTTTTTTTGGCGTACGCCATTTCCGCCTTTTGGCCGTACGTTCACTTTCAGTATGGTTTCCACGCAATCCTTTATAAATGAGACCCCTGGTCCCAAAAGGCGTTTCTAGTCCCTACCTGTCGTTTCGCGCCTCAGCATGGCTGCCTAAAAACGCTGCAGGATTTCTCAAACATGCATGCATGAGCAAAGCAAGGCTTTGGGCATGTTTTTTATGAGAGTATAACATTATAACATGATATAAAACTCAAAAAAGTTGATTTTACATGATATTGCCCCTTTAAAGTAAAACCATAAATAGCTTAAAGATTTGAATAGTCATTAAATAAAGGGTCTCTAACACAATCAAATTGAAAGAAGTTCATAAGCATGGATTGTACATGGACAAGGTGAATGCAAGCTGTTTTATGTATTTACTGTTTGTCTTCTGTGCAGCGTGGAACTGGACTTCAAGCTGCAGGAGGACAAGCTACAGCCGCTAATGAAGAGGCTTTGCCCTACAGAGGACGCGCACTTCCCTCCCCTGCCTTACCCCCAGGAGGCCTTCACTTCCACCCCAAAACGAAAGTCCAAAGCCGAGTCCAAGAAGCACGCCCGCTGGAAACTTTGGTTCCTGTGAGAACCACAGGGCCGCCTCCAGACCCTGCAACGCACGCACAGGATTTTAAAAATCCATCTGGTTTTTCGTCTTTTTCCCTCCCTTGTTTCATCTCATCTTTCTGGATTTTGTAAAAGCTGGTATCCAGTTTTACGGGGAGCTCAACATCTGGATACCCGGAGATGGCAGGATGTGAAAAGGAAGTGCGGATTGCATGGATAATTCATGCCAAATCAAAATGGAATCCATCCCATTTTCAAGCGATTTCTCCGAGTGAAGTGTGAAAATACCAACAGGGAAACATACTGGAAGATCAGCACGGCGAGGAGGCGTATTCAACTCCTGCTGTCTCTTTGCAGATTTATTTTTATAGCTGATGTCGACGTGGTCCTGCTCTACGGTGACGGTGCAGGATCCGGCCATGTTTCTATTCACATCTTGGGATTTTAATTCTCGGCCTCCAGGAGAGGTTGGCAGTCCGGCACTAAAGCTCCATCAACAGCATATCACTGTACTGTAAAGCACAATTAACACTGTTCAGGATTTCTTCAGAGTCATCAGAAAAAAATGAACTATTTTGGCTATTAATATGTATCCATGACAGATTGAAGACTTTTATATCGAGCTAAAGAAAAGAAAGGACAACATGTGAGGTGGTTTTTTGGGGGGGATTTGATGATATTTCTTCTTTCCACTGATAAACTGTCTCCTTAAAACATCTGAATTTGAAGAAAAGAATGAATAAATACCACTTATTTTCTTATTAATTTATGAAAACTTAAACTCCGCTGTACTTTTTTTCTATATAAATATATATCTACATATATGACTAARTTTATTAGAGATATATTTCAGTTGAGTTAAAGAGAGGTCTGTACTTTCTTCATCATGCATCAAATACCACAGCTCATGCATTTATTGAATCCCAATAATTTTGGATGCAAACTACAGAGACAGGCATAAAACCATGTCAAACAAACAAAGAAATGACAAAAGAATCGCTGCGATTGTTAACGCTGCAGCATCCTGCACCGGCTACTTCGGTAACAGCCAGTCAAAAACCAAGCCTAAAAGACTGAATGTGCCAGCTCTGATCACAAGCAGGGCCTCTACGGTGCAGGGTGGCAGGCGCACAGCCTTGCATGCTTTTTATCCTGGGATTTTGCAGTATATTTTCTAGCTTTTCAAAAAAAAAACCTTTGGACGAGAACTGCTAATTTTTCATTTTATTGTAGGCTTCTGCTTGTCTTTTAGAATCGATTCAATTTATTTAGTAAAACCATACAGGGTGCAAAGACTGTACAGCMAAAATGCTACGAGCATTTACTAAATATATATTACATAGCAACAAATAGGGCTAATACTGTTAGATACAATGAAATCAAGTAGCTAAAGGTAAACAAGATTAAGCAGACAATTCTCCCTGGAACAGCAAACAAGACACTTTAAAGCCAAAAAGCACTGCCCTAAAAAAGGAAATGTGCCAACGTTGTGTCAAGAGAATATCTAAAAAACATAATAATAATAAAAAAATACGACGATAAAAAAAAGTACTAGTCATCTTTGGTTTAATCTCCACAGGCTTAAAACGCGCTGCATTCTGTCGATTACCTGTAACTCGTCTGTTCACTTTTTGTACACGCTGATTTCTTTCTGTGGTTACACTGTAGCATCAAGAGAGACGTAGATGTTTATCTGTATCCCTGAAGAAGTGCAATTGATTTATTATGTGCAATACTGTCTTTTATACTGTTTTCTAAAGAAAAGGGGAAAAAAACTATTTCATAATTACAAAAACTGAAAAAATAAAAATCGAACATCCACACAGATCACAACATTTGAAATTTGAGTGTCATTTGCAGACAGCTGAACAGTCAAACAGGCACATACGTGAAATCCAATAACTATGCATTCTCAGATCACTTCCAATGTATCAAACAGCAGAACATTTACAGTTTCAATGCTAAAACAGTTAAAATCCTTGAATGCGGAGGTTCAGACTAAAATATTATAGTAAGAAATGAAGTTGCAGCATTTTGATCACGATAATGGCATTCACCTATTACCTTTACCCACTTCTTCCTTTCAGGGTCACTGGTGCCCATATCCAGCAGTCGCAGTGCGAGGGGCGGCGGACAACCTGGACAAGTCCCAAGTCCATCACAGAGAGACACATAGAGACAAACAGTCACTCTCTCACTCACACCTAGGGACAATGTCGAGTTATCAATTAACCTAAAAGTCATGTTTTTGGTCTGTGGGAGGAAGCCGGAGTACCCCGGAGAAAACCCACGCCTGCACGGAGAGAACATGCAAACTCTACTCAGAAAGGTCCCTGAGCAGGGGATGCACAATCAAAATGAAATGTGTTGTGAGCTATTCTCACCTACTACTACAGAGAAACTTAACATCTTTAAATCTGATTGAGTTCCCGACACGTTTGTGTTGGCTGGTGCTGATTAGCTGTGGCAACAATCTTAAAATGACTCCAAACTATAATCAGCTGTAGATGTTCATCCAGTGGTGACTGAGTGTTTCATTAAAATCTGTTGAGTTGTTCAGGAGAACTTTTGCTAAAAAAAAATAAACAAACATGGCTGAGTCTCAGCCGCTCCGAGTTACAACCAGATATCTGTAAAACTGAGTAAAAAACATATTTAGGTTTTATAAGGTCTGTCGGCTGTGGCGGCCATCTTAAAATATGCTGCCTCCAAAAGTCAATCAGATTGTAAATGAACATTCCAGTGATTTTTTTCCTGAAAGTTTAATTAAAATCTGTTCAGTGATTCATGAAGTACAAAGCTTACAGTCAAAGGTGACTAAAGAGTTATTTGCAAAGTTTTAAACAAAGATTAATGTTTAGTGTGTTAGACATCAGTCTCAGACAAATCTTTGATTAATATCTGTAAAAGAACAAAGGCAAACAAAATACTGTCCACCTTTGCCTTTTATAGTAATAATTACACATAGTATGGGATGTAAATAATCATAAAAATTGAGCCATTAAAAGGTTCTTGGTTCCTTCCACTCCGTTTATTTTGCATGAAAAGCCTGAAAAGTCAAAGCTCAAACCTTGAGTAACTTAACTACCTGTGCGTGGATAAACAGCTGCACCAGTTGGACGTTCTGCAACTTGATTAAACAAACACCGTAAAACATAAATTGTAGAACATAGTTTGAATGTTTTTATAAGGTGAAATACAGAAGGTTAGAACCAGTTTTTTTTTATGTAAAAACAGTTGGCTTCTCTTTGAAGTGGCGGGGCGGCACAGAACGAGAGCAGAATACAGCAGAGGGGATGAGCAGCACAGAGTCTGTCTGCTGCACAGAATCATCTCCTGCCTCAGTAATGCACTTGGACCAGGAACTAAGAGACGAGCTGAGGACAAAGCTCTGAGCAGATGCCCCCCAGAGATGCAGAGACATCGTCGCAGAGACGCGTGAGGCAGCGTGGCTGGAGGGCAACACCATCCCCAACCCCCCACACTCACCCACAGAAAGGCTGTCTCCGTGGGGCTTCCCTTTAAGTGGATGTTTAAAGCCCAGTGTGAGGGTGGTACAAACATGACATCCAGTGCAGCTTAACATCTTGTTGTCTTTTAAACACAGTCCTTCGTGGTTTAGTCTGAGTGGTTTTCATACAACAGGGTCGCAAATCTCCCACGAGCTGTTGCAGGATGGAGGGGGGGAAAATAAAAAGCAAAGAAGCACTCAGTCAGGTTTAGCAAAATATAGTAAGAAGTCGTCCAGTGAGCAATTTTATATATTTATACACACACACACACACACACACACATGTTTGAGGCATTATGATGCATCACCATATCTCACTATGCTTCTGTGAGCTCTGCAGCAGTCTGGCCAGCAGGAGAAACGGACGGGGGAGGGAGCGCGAGGCAGAAGGATGTGAAAAGAAACACTTAGACAAAAACAGATAGAAACTTATAAAAAAAAGGGAGAGGATCTGAGAGACATGCAAAACAGGAAGGGAGTTTGACGTAAAGAGGCGAAACTGGGATGTGGCTGTTCAGCAGTGCAGTCAGCGAGCGCATGCAGCAGAGAAACAGCTCTAACCCCCTACAACCAGTCAGCCCCATATTGTCAATCAATAACACAGGGTCCTTCCCCTGCAGCTTTGCACTCTGCTCCTTCTGCACACTGCAGCGAAGTCATCGGGGGAACTCCACAGGACTGCAGTTTACCACCAACAAAACACGTTCTTCACTAGCGTCTAAGTTAACAAAAAGCAACAGATTTTTGAGAAAATAATCTTTCAATTTCTAGTCTAGTCTGTTAGGTATACTCTAGGAAAAATCCAGCCTTCTGACACAACAGACTCATAAGAACTTTACTATCGCCTGTTGACACCTGTAAAGGTCTCACCAATTTTTTGAACAGATTTAAAAGAAAAAAACTTTCAGAAAGTAATCATTGGGAGTAGGGCTGGGCAAAATCGGATCATGAGCAATTAATCAGCAGAAAAATTGTCGCTGATTAATAGTTGGCACATTCCATAGTAGTCTGCTCGGCGCTCCTCTTCTAATGGATCGCCTTAGCCTGGCCATTGCCTTCCTACTCAATTCCGCTTGATTCTAATCTGTCTCTTTCTCTGCTCAGTTTGRTGGTCTATCTCCAAAAGACAAGGATTTCTCCAGTAGATTTTGAATCGGGCCAACCAGTGAACAGAATGAGGAGTTGTGAACGATGACGTTGATTATCTGCCCCACTTTAATTTGCCTGTAGTTTAGCAATGGCAGCAGAGGAAGTGAATGAAGTCATTCAGTCCGTGTTGACAAGACTTCCAAATTGAATTAAATTTGTCTCACAAAGCCTGCATCACTCATTTACTGCCATCTTCGGCTCCGTACTTCTCTCTTCCCAGTAGGGGATGGTTGTTTACAGTACACACAATTTTCGGTTAGCTTCTTAGCTTAGCTTCTTTCACGTTTGAGCTGACACACTACATATATCACGGTCAAGCGTTAGCGATTGGATAAAATCAGATCCAATTGTTGTAAATTTCAGCAGAGGCTATGCCTCCAGCAAGCTATCATTTTCAATAGCTGAGAGTCCAGACCTTCTGTACCCTAGCCTGGTTTTTATCAGGCTAGGATCACCTATTTCCTCATCAAAGTCCTCACTTTTCTCTCAGACATTCTCTGCCTTTGACCTCCCCTCTTCTCTCAGAAATGGTTCAGATCGGTCCATCAGTGTCCGCAGCACCACAATCACAAATTGCCACATTATTTTAATTTAAAAACGCTAAAACAGACTAAACGCTAAAAGTACTACGTACACACAAACAATAAAATCCAAACACGCTAAACAAAATCTTATAAATCTCTGATCTAATCACAGTCCTGCTCTTGCTGCGTTTCCATCATCACCAAACTTCATTCAGCTTTCGAATCTCTTTATTTTCTTCTTCCTGTCGATTTTTTTGGTGCTTCTCAAATACTTCCAAGCATCAGTCAGAAAAAAGGGTCAGGGATTTTTTGTTTGTTTGTCAGGGTTGGCGGTAGACCAGCGAGTGGATTGAGTTGTTTTTTTCCACAAATCTGCCCGCCATTCGCTGCCTCCCACTGCAAAGTGTTTATGACGAACATAAAAAAAAGTTTATTTGACTTAACACAATTTATAAAGTAGTGCATGGTTTAAAGTCTCTACTTTTGACACAAATTGAAACAGATCCTTTACCGTTGGAGCCATTTAAATCGGTCATGTGACTAGGACGTGCCGGCATCCAGGGATTAATCGTTATCAGCTAAAAGCCACAAATAATCATTATTAATTTTTAGCCAATACTGCCCATCCCTAATTGGGTGTAATTGATGTATACAGCTGATTCAAGAGGGCCGTCACAGCGAACTCAAAAATGGCTACAACTCAGTGAATTTTAAAATTACTGAGTTCAAATTGTGTGTGGAAATTAGTGCTGTACCAAACAATTATTTTCTAATCRATTAATCTAACGATTATTTTTTCGATTAATCGATTATTCTAACAACAAATCTATAAGTTATTCTGATGTGAGTGCACTGGAAATTTAAAATGTTTTCATCAAATTAACAAGAACAGTTCTTTAATATTGTAATATTTTCTGTAATTGTAATATTATTGTAATTGTAATATTTTCATGAAAAACTCACCACTCTTATGCAAATATGGTCGCAATGATGCTTTTAGGTACCGAAATGGAATTGCATGAACATTCACCTGGTGGTTATGTARTACAGCGAATCGATAATAAAAAATCTGCGTCGACAACTTTACATAATCTACGTCGATTATTTCTACTAATCGGTGCAGCCCTATTTGTGTCGTCCACGGCCTACCCCAGTTACCACTACTGTGCATGTGTGTCAAGGACAGAAAGGCAGATGTGGCAGTGGAAGGTGTCAAAGCAGTTTGGAGAGAAAAACAAATTAAAGAACAAAAAAAAGAAAAAGGTTAATCGATTATTAAATTAGTCATCGATTATTTTAATAATCGATTAGTTGTCGATTAATCGATTGATTGGTGCAGCCCTAGTGGAAATAGCTGAGAGGCTAACAGATCAATAAAATTTACTCGAATATTGCATGCGAGTTCACCAAAAATGTTTTAATACAACGGCTACAACTCTGTCGTTTCTCAACAGAAGAGTTTAAGACTCAACGGGCAGCACACGTTCCTCCAACAAATGCTAGGTCTTTAAATAGGTTAGTCTCGTTTGCGGACATCTAGGAAATATGAAGCACAGTTCTGCAGGACAGTGATTACTATTCCTGAGCTTCTGCAGGYTCATCCAGGCACAAACCAGAGGAAGTGTTATTCAAGGACATGAAGGGAAAACTTGAGCCGGACCAGGCGACGTCTTTCCGCGGCTCTCCTGATGGAAATATATTCGAAAAGAGTCGCTTCAACCTGCGCACGAGGGTGGACGTGAATACAAAGGGGCAGTCGTGGCAGGACGTCCAATGAATCAAATGTGTGACGATGCTGTGTCTACGTTGCTAACAGGCGCAGCACTGCAGTGACAACGCGCGACAAAGCCAACGTCGTCACTGCGATCGCTCGCTCATCAACATTCTGCGCCCGCCGCTGCGAGTGGCAGAGCTGGGGGGGGAAGCGCGAAGGAGCAGAAAGTTAATGCATAAATCTAAATGTAAGAGGCTGCCACTCAGGGGAACAAGGTCGGCGGTTGGCTGCGGTGGTGTGTGAGCAGCAGCAGCAGCGCACCATGTGCCTGCAGAGTAGGCAGCAGCAGCAGCAGCCCTCTGATTAGAAACCTGACACGTCGTGCTGCAATAACTGGCTCCCAAAGCTTGAAAAAAAAAAAAAAGCAACACCCCCTAGTAGTAGCTGAGACTGACTCTAATGTATACTGTGAGTGCTACCTGGTTGCGCAACATTTATGTTTAAACATTTGGCATTAACTATTGGTTAACTAATAGTTGTCTAAATGCAGCTCACGTTACGAGTACAGTACTATACAAAAGTGTTCCAGAAGGGTAACACCATGGGCTTTGATGTGACCTCTAACTCCCATTMCATAAAAGAACACTAATGCAAAATATAATTTAGGTACTGGGAAATGCCAAGGCAGTCAAGTACATTGACTCAGATGCTTTAAAGGCAGCAGCTGACAAAAGACAGGGGTCAAAAGAGACGGGGGGAAAAAAGCTGTGCATAAGAGAATAAAGTAAGGTAGAGGGCAGAGGCAGCATTTGTATACAAAGCAGATCGTCTCAATAAGGGCCACAGGGAGTCAGAGGTAAGAGTAGTTTCATTAACTGGAAAGGACGCTGGTCGTCGACGGTGTCATTCAGCGGCCGCCGCTGCAAGCTGAGAAGAGATTTTCACCAACACCGCAGGAGAACGTTGAAATAGATGCACTTAGTATAATTCAACAGTAATACAGCAGAGAGGAGACATGCACACATGGGCCTTCATCTTGACAAGCTTTCAGACAAAAATGGAAGTCGAGCTCCATATCTGAAATACATGATCAAAACAAACCCTCTGCAGAGGAAAAAATAACAGAGGACGGGAAAAATGGCAGAAGATGAAGGCTGAGCTGTAAAGACAGCTGATCTTGGTTTTAACAAGAGATCCGCYGAAGAACAAGCTGGATTTTTTTTTCCTCTTCCAAAGATCTATTCACCAAAACGTTTTGAACACAAATAAAACAGTCTGGATGTCTGACATCAGTATAAACAGACTAGAGTGAGTGGGAGTCCTGACTGAAACCCCTCCAAGCGGCTGGCTGAGATAAAAAATTAGGCAGCAGGGCGGCCTCGGCTCAACTCGTGGCTTCATTAGGTTTACATTATTCAGCGTGATGCACACAAGCAATCCGTTACACAACAGAGGGCTTCCCAGCAAAAGAATTAGCTCAGTGCAATGCTGGAATTCCTGTAGACACTTTAAGAGACAAACAGCTACAGATCTTTTACAATCTATTTTCCTAAACTGAAGACTTAGAGCTCCTTAAGACTGCTTACCTCCCACTGTCGTCCGCTTAAACCATTCTATATTACACCTGTACATAGGTACCTATTAATGAATATTTCATTCATTATTGTGGAGTGTAGTTTATGWTGACAACCCAAGATTAATATGAGGCTCTTTTAGAAGACGCCCCGTACCGTAAGTGACGCATGTTCTGACCACCTTGGTCCGTTCAGAAGACACCCGGAGGCAGAGAGGCAGGACTGAAACTCCTCGTCTCTGTACCTTCCAGCAAGGTAACGACAAAAACACTRAGCCAGCAAGCTCCTCACTCTACGTAAAAAGGAAATAAATACAAACTTTATAAGCACAAAGACTGGCTAAAAKTATGCAGCAGCGAGGATACAACTGCGATAAGAGTTATTTTGAAATTTAAAACCTTAGAAAGATGTATTAAATTTTGCGGAACACAAGTTGCACTTTTTATACAGTTTGGTTGGTCCTGCGACTTTTAATTCGAAGCAACTTATCTGTGGTTTTTCCCTCTTTGTGATGCATTTTTTTTGACTGTTGCKTTTAGTTCAYASTGACTGACRTGAACCAAGGAGTAAACATTACCTTCTGCAGCAGTGAGAGGGCGCTTCAGGCTTGTGACAACTCAGGTTCATGTTGTTCTGCTACCAGTTGAAAAAAATTAGCAGCAGGGGGGGAAGTTTGGAGTGTGTGAGAAACTTGAGGAACTCACAGAAGTYACTCTTACTGCACTTAAGAAAATGAAGAAAGCTGATTGCATGATGCGGAACGGGATTGGTGAACTTACCGTAACTTGCTTGTTGGAATGCATTGGGCCGAGCTAGTTGCTTGTGCAGAGACGATTCGATGTAGGCGCCGGCGGGAATCCAAATATTTCAAACGCACGAATCTGATTTTGTTGTATTTGCCACACAACTATAATGGACTAGACTGAACAGAAGATAGTATAGGAGCATCCAGCAGTATGATGCTAATGACGAGGGGGCAGGACGACTGAGGACGGTAAGCTAATGTTAGCTTGTTGTTGGCAACTTGTTTTTTGGTATCTTGCTGTGAATATTGTTTAGTTAAATTAGTGTAAAAAAATGTTAGTCCATGCAAACGATTTGCGTTAAGTTAATCTCATCTGTGTCATATGTCTGTAAATTAATTAATTAAGGCTATTCAGCACCCGTGGAGGTTTGTCCTGTGTTATTCTGTTATTCCAGATAAAATCTCTGTTCTGATCGAATTAGTCAGGTGCAACTTATCAATGTTTTCTTTCCTCTTCATGACGCATTTTATGTCTGATGCCACTTATAGTCCGGAAAATATGGTGCTTGGCTGTTTTTTGACATCTGCAACATAATATGGAGTGATTCTGCGACTCATCAGCAGCTTGAGCGACAGCAACAAGCTTGAGCGACAGCAACACATCAGAGCAGTCGAGATTTTTCCCACGCATCTTTTAATGCCTCACTCAATGTTTTCGGAAAGCACATGTGAGCTTGGTAAAAGAACGTCTCCGTCCATGACTTCCGAACTGCYCCTCTACCGGTACGGTCATCTGAAAGAGCCTTTAAATTTTTAAAGACAACATGAGACTATACCCAGTTGTAATGAAAAGGTAAAACAAACCGAAGTGTATTTTCATGGCTCTAAATAAAGATGTGATATTTACGGGACTTTTTAGATTCACAAAAATCTATAAAACCAGCATCGTATCAGGCAGACAGCATGTTTACACAGTGACTGATAAGTACATTAACTGCTATCAAGCTCCAGCTGGGAGTGACTGAAAGAAGGATGCTCATGGCAACAGCACGGGTGTACACTGATCACATTACAGCACACTGCATCAGATGTGTACTAATAAGTGAAGATCAAACATGCAAACAAGGAAACTATATTTAATTTTTTTTAAAAAGCCAGCAGAGGTAAAACACAAACAAGTGTCTGAAAAAAGACAGGAGCAAATCAAAGCCACTTTAAGGTGAGAATTAAAAAGCAATCTGTAAATGATGGTTTTGGATTTGCTGTTTCGGGCTCCCGGGAGTTGAACTTGTAGTTTACAGACTTCTAAAAATCTGAGTGTGCTCATGTGTGTGCGTCTAGGAGTGTAAATTTTGGAAAAGGAAGAGGGTATCGAGCCGTGGTCGTGCTGCTGACGCTTGCAGGGAGGCTGACAAACTTACGATGTGAGGAGAATCTCGGCCCATGGAGATGACGGTCCTGTTAATCGTCCTCAGCAGCTGCTCCATGATGATCTGCACGTGCCACTGGGTGGGACCCTGCAACCATTACAGAGCCACGTGATGTTGGGGAAGACGGGAGAAAATAATGATACGAGTAAAATAAAAGCAGAAAAGAAAATTCTATACATATAAGAGGAATTTGCAATGCTTTAAAACAACTAATCATCTTAAGACACACTTCTCTTGCTTTTATTTAAACTGTTTCTGGTTAAACCAGATGCAAAAGAGCAGCTGGTATTTTTTAATCTCCTCAGTTTGTCTGTAGGGCTGTGTCGAGGCAATCAAAAAGGCAGGCAAACCTTTTCCAATATCAAAGGCTGAGTTCTGCAACAGGTGTTTTCAGAAAACTGCCTGACTTGTGTGATCTTGTCACAGATAGCCCCTAGTTTCTGTTTTGTTTTGTTTTGACTCTGTGAAGACCTTGGCTTCACTGATTCRCCAGACAGATATGAAAGAGAGAGTAAGCCTGTGAGCGGAAGCAGCTATTTGGGGTGCAGCAGGAGGAGGGAGTGTAAAGGCAGGAACAAGTGGGAGTGGGAGATAATCCTTGCAGAGAGTGGAGTGTAGGAGGCCGGAGCGCACTGATCAATGATGAGCGTCTGAGAGGGCCTAGGGGAGGACATCAGGAGTCTGGGCCAGGAAGACACACTCCAAACAGCTCAGTATTGGTGAAAGTGTGTGCCAGCATAAGCATGTGAAGYTCCAGGAGAAGGTAGATTTTTTTTGCTCTTGTCTTTTAAGCCACAGTTTTAACTAAGATCATCAAATGATGAGAAATGATGGAGTTATGGCATTTTGGTTAAATTTTAAAATAACATTATGTACAAAAGGTTTTGTTGGACTAAAAATAAATCTAAAATGACACACTGTACAGTAACTTTTCACTGAGGTACATCAAAATGTGCTCCTTTCTTTTAAGTGTTGCTGTTGGGTACCCTTCTGTTTCTTCTACAGGGAAATAAAAGCAGCGTTTCGTACCACATCCTTCCTGTAAAGCACCTCCAGGATGTCACTGAGCAGCTGGCAGCAAGCCTTCGGCTCCTCCCGCATCTCCAGGTGGAACTTCAGCTGCTCCGTCATMAGCGGCAGAAGGATCTCACGGCAATCTGCAGGGATGCCCCCCACCCAAAAAAACAACAACACAGACATTCACTCGATGACAGATCACACACAGCGGTAACAGCAGATGGTTTTGACACAGCCGTCGCAGATGCACAGAGCTTTTAGTGCCTCTTTATTCTAAGCGGATTCAATTAAAATGATTCTTTTATTTAAACAATGTTGAGTAAATAAGAAATAAACATTTAATAAACACTTGAGTTTCCTTCAGAGAGTGACTGGGCTCAGACGTAGAATAAGACTGATTGGATGGATGGATGGATGGATGGATGGATGGATGGATGGATGGATGGATGGATGGATGGATGGATGGATGGATGGATGATGGGGTGACTGGACGGATGGATGCACGGGGTGACTGGACGGATGGATGCACTGATGGATGGATGCACAGGGTGACTGGATGGATGGATGGATGCACGAGGTGGATAGATGGATGGATGGATGGATGGATGGATGGATGGATGGGCAGGTGGGCTGATGCACGGTGGATGGATGGATGGATGGATGGATGGATGGATGGATGGATGAAAAACAAAAGTACACTAAAGTCCACTGAAGTCAAATGAATTCAGGCTCTTTCTTCCAGATAATGTTTCTGCTTTAAGATTCAAAAACAAGCTGGGACAAAATAAAATATGAAGCCCAACAACAACAATAAACACAGACGATCCTCCGTACTGCTCAGGGCTAAATAATAAACTGATGGATGAAAAGCAGAAGGAATAGAATAAACTTTAAGGAACTTGTTGAAACATACCCTGAGGTAACAAACACAAACCCAGGCACCGCTTTTCTGAACTGCATGTCTAATGAAGATGGATTAAAATGTTTAGAWAACAACAAAATCTGTGTTTAAAACTTTTCCCTTAACTATTTGAATCAACTGTTAGCAACATATCTCAATGACCAATGAAAGGKTATATTATTAAATTTCAAAACACAATAAATAGATGTCCATCTACAACTGGCTGYCTTTTGAAGTTAACCCAATTCAAGACGGCTGCCACCTTAAATAAAAATGTCTAACTCAGCCAGTTTTACAGACGTTTGGTTAAAATTTGGTGTGGTAGTAGCTGACAGTTGTTCACAACACATACTTCAAGCACTAACAGATCATCTGAGATATAGCAGGAGTTTGGGCAGGTTTAGAAGGCAAATAGCTTTTCTTCAAGGAATGYTATGCCTCTAACCTTTAATAAAGTGTCTCCAAATTGGAGCTGAGCTTCATACTAATGTGGAGATGAGAAATTTATCCAGCAATTAGACACCTTCATCATCGTTTTGGCACAACTTGCAAACACGTATCCACAACAAAGACAAGTGGAGCTGTTCRGAGCACCGGGGCACGGAGCCATTGTTGAGCCTGAGCAACAGGATAATCCGTAGCTACGCCGCAGAAAAAAATAAATAAATTAAAAAATCAACCTCCTCCTGCTGTTCAGCAGTCCATTCACAAGCATCAGGGGAGGCTTGCCCSTCCACAATTATAGCAATAGATCAATAGTAATGGCCAGAGGACCACGCACTGAGCACTGCCCTTCAATAGCGACACACTAAACGGGCTAAAGCACCAATTGGACAATTTTATGTTTCAAAAGTATGAAAGCGGTGGATCATTAAACTGAAAGCGGTGACATTTACACCGTGTTGTGTTCAATATTAGCCATTACTGAAAACAGGACAAACTTCCCATTATGCCCAGTTCCAGCTCCCTTTCATTACTTATTGCCTACATGAGTGCTGATGTAAAATGATGAGCTTAGAAACCTGCCTTTCAAGTGGAGAAATGACGTCCACTTCCTGTGTGCTAATTGGTTGCTCCCCTGCTGGCTTAATTACAACCTCTGTTAAACTGCTGTCAGTTACCACCAGAGCAAAACAGGTGAGTCTTGTTTTCTCAAATAAACACCTTTATGACTCAAAGTAATAACGCCTCTTCTAAATCTTTGTAATAAGTTCAATATGTTGAAAGTTCACTAGAGTTTTTAAGGTCTTCTCATGYTGAGAAGTGTCAGAGTTATCTACATTCAGTGATTACTTTCTGCATGTTTCATTCATCTAAAGTCTTACAATCTTTTTTTCTAGAAAAAGTATTTCTGATCTTGTTTTGAGACTGATATACTAAGCAAGTGTATCGATATTCTAAAGCCCTGTATCGATTTTTTATTACGTTTAAAACAACTTTCCTGCCAGCCGTTCATTTTTATGTTGTAGTTCAGCCTCTGACTGCTAGGTGGCTGCAGTGAGCCAGCCATTTGGCTCCTCTACCTCTTGAGCGCCACAGAGTAAGGGTAGCATTAGCATTGTGAGTAACCATTAGCTTCATGCTCCGATAGTTGAATCTGAGCGGAAAAGACCGACACCCTCTGCCTTCTAAGCTGAGGTAAGGTTACGAACATTTACTTATTTGTCAGAATGTCTGTATTTTAAGCCAAATTAAGTGTCTTGTGCGSTCTTTTGTTGTTCACCGACTTTAGTTTGTTAGTTTGTTTGACAAAGTGCAGCGTGAAAGCAAACGACACCAACTGAAAATGTAAACACATCTTGCAATTTTGGTTGCCATCTGAACCGAGTATACCTGACTATCATTTGTGAATATGACCTTAGTTTGATGGCTAATTTTTGCAGTGCAGTAATTCATGAGATATTTTGCTAACAGACAGATACATGAGTGCACACACAGACAAAGGCATGCCTTTCAGCAGAAGGCAATWTAAAGTAAAAGATACAGCATGGAACATCGGTAATCTGAATAGATAAGTTTTTTTTTCTTTCTTAAAACATCAGTCCAGGGTTTTTCTGACAGAAAGGATATTTAACTCCTTGACAAAACGAGAAAAATTCCGTCTCTGCTTCATCATTGACCTTTACAGAAGCCTCATGCAGGACTGGCAGGTGGTGTGTGATTGCCTATATTTCTGAACCGTGAGTAAAATTTCATGCACTGAAAAACTGTGAGTACAATTACCCTGTGTGTGTGTGCGTGTGTGTGTGTGCGTGCGTGCGCTCTCACCGTGATGAGTAAAGAGGTCGCTGTGGACGATGTCAATCAGACAGTCTAGTTTCTGTTTCACCAGGCGACCCTGAGGGACTTTCAGGATGAACTCGGTGAAAAGCTTGCTGTGGAGACAGAAGGAGGAAAAGGTCAAACAGATCAGACGTCTCACCCTGGATGACTGTTTCCAATCATCATCCAAAAAGCATTCCACAAAGTAAGACCTAGACTTCCAGAACATAGAACTGACTGAAATAAACAGCACTTGTTACGACACTAATGTAAAGTTGATACATCTGGATCACAGCTGCTAAAAATCTCTCCTCTAGCTCATRAGGCATGATTCACCCAACATCAAATCAGATCAAATCAGAAAAATTAAAACAGTTCGGACATTAAAAGTTGCATTTGCGTTTGTAAATTCACATAAAACTGGTTGTTTTCTCTGCCTCAAAGAGACTGTGTGCTCATTACACAGGAGCAGAGGCTCATGGAAGTGAGGGAGTGTTTTGGCACGAGATGAAATGCTCCTCATCCCAGAGGCTTCGATCTGCTTGCCTCCAGCGCAGGGTCTTGGTGAGGCTGGTGTTCGCAACGAGAACAGCTGATACCACCTTTGCTCAGGCATCATAAAGTCAAGCCTGCGATTTATATTCGAGTTGACGATTTGTGTGCACCACGTTTCACAATTACTGCTAGAATCCAAAATGTTCCCTCATTTTCACMATAAAACTACAATAATAAAAATACTGACCTGTGATTTTAAAACATCCTATTCCTGCAAAATTTATTTTTACTGAAACTAAAATCAAAGCCAGTTAAGCTTTTATTTTTCTTTCTTACATTTAGAGATTAAATACTTTGTGCAACACATATAGGTGCATCTTAGAATTAACTAACACAAGTGAGCCCTGCCTATAACATCAACTCTACTTTGTATATGCTTCCTTTAGGTAAAGTTATTAATCAGCATGGGATAAATTTCCATTGTTACGCTGATGATACTCAGTTATATTTATCCATGAAAGAATCCAACCAGTTACTTAAACTTCAAGCATGTCTTAATGACATAAAAACATGGATGACTCTTCATCTTCTGCTTCTAAACTCAGATAAGACAGAGGTTATGGTTTTTGGACCTGAACATCTTA